AGAGTGAGGGAATTGAGTTCAAGTGAGAGTCTAGCTTGGAGACTTGGAGAATTTGTAGGAGATTTGCCTAATTGAACTTCTACTCTTGTAATTGAAGACCTAGGTAAGGAAATTCAACCCCTCATTATTGTGTTTAAGTTGATTCTTGCATGGTTCATGTCTAATTGAAGGGTTAAGTCACGAATTGGTTCAAAAGTGTTGAATTAAAGCTTAATTATTGCATGCATGGTATACTCTTGCATTTTAGAGCTTGGTCTTCATAAATTCGAAGTCAGGTTTGTTACTCTTCTTTTTTGCTCTTTGTGTCCAGATTTGGACACGCGTGTCCAGATTTGGTGGACACGTGTGTCTCCGCCGTGTCTACTGAAAAAAAAATTAAATTAAAGGGACACGCCTCCCCGCGTGTCCCGTACATGTCCCCGGCGTGTCCCCGTGTCAGACACCGCCACGGCATGAAATCTGTCGTGTCCATGCTTCATAGATACTAAAGATTAGTTTGTTTGTGAAGTGTGGTAGAGGAATGCTTCCTAAGAAAGATGTTTCGATGGTTGTTGGCCATTTCAAAAGCATTTGAAGTCGATTATTATATCTAAATGCAACAAAATGTTAGGTGCTTGTTTTTTAAATTCTAGAAAAATATTTCTTGTTGTAAATAAATTACATTTTTTTTAAAAAGAATTTCAAGAGGTTTTGCCCAAGTATTTTCTTGGGGTGACAAAATGGCTTCCCCAAATATTTAGCCGGTGTTTGGATCATGGGTTTTGATAGGGATTTGGAAAGGAAAAGGTAAAAATTGAGGACAATGTGAATGAAATATAATCAGATGGAGGCAGGCTACTATGTCAAGAGGCCATCATATTTCCTTGATAGATAATAGAGATGAGCTGCCATCTATTTATGATTGAGATGATACTTTAGTAAATAGAATATTACCTATAACAGTTTACGCAGTACTTGTGTGATTATATATATATATATCATTGCTTGGTGGTGGTAAGTAGAATTTAGAAGTATGGAATCATTACTTTGTATTTTATAGATTGTATTCCAAATTCCAATTAAACTTAGATAAGTTTTGTTGGTTGCTCTAACCTTTGAGATTTTTGTTTTTGCTTAGTGTGTTTGTATTATTGGGTGAAATTCTAGAAGAGGGTTGAAAAAGTTGTATTTTGGGTCTCTAGGGTTTGTTGTGCATGGCAATAGGGCAAGTCTGTGAATATTTCATTTGATGCTGTAATTTACCAGACTTGCAGTTGATAATTTCCTCATCTTTGTCAATCATATCCTCTCATTAAATGATATTTGGGAGATATGCTTCATTTAAATTGTGAGAAAGGGTTATCCATTCTTACTGAATATTTCAATTCATCTGAGAGTTAAGCTTTAGTTGCAGAAGTTTGTTTTACAGCTTCATTTATCTTTTGTTGTTATGATCTTAGGACTGAGATGTCAATCCATTTTAGTTTGTCAAGTTGGCTTGTTGAATTTCCATGTTTAGTGTAACAACCCTCGTCACTGTTTACCGAATAACCACTGATTACCGTTAAACTGAAACTGATTATGACTGATAAGTGAACTGAATAAACTGAGACTGATTGTGATTGATAACTGAAGTAATTGAACTGATTGAAAAAAACTGAACTGACCGACTGAAATTTGAAACTGATTGATTGACGGTACCTGTTTAAATGCATTTTCTATCTGTTGATTGTTAATTGATCTGTTCGTGTTTTTATGGTTAAATTGCGAATTGAAGGCCTTATCGGCGGCCGAATCTGAAATTGATTGATGTTCTGTGTTAGTCATAATTTATAGGATTTTATGGCATATTTACCTGAAAACTGATTAGGCATGAGTAAATTGGATTAAAATGAGTTGAATTGCAATAGTTGGCTTAATTACAACCTTGCCATCCCTAGTGGATCACTTAGGCAACATACTTGGAGGCTTGTATACTTGTAAACAAAACATTTCTTCTTCCATTTCTTGCACACAACCGACCAAGAGAGTGAGAGTGAGGGAATTGAGTTCAAGTGAGAGTCTAGCTTGGAGACTTGGAGAATTTGTAGGAGATTTTCCTAAATTGAACTTCTACTCTTGTAATTGAAGACCTAGGTAAGGAAATTCAACCCCTCATTATTGTGTTTAAGTTGATTCTTGCATGGTTCATGTCTAATTGAAGGGTTAAATCACGAATTGGCTCAAAAGTATTGAATTGAAGCTTAATTATTGCATGCATGGTATACTCTTGCATTTTAGAGCTTGGTCTTCATAAATTTGCCACATGCATGTTCATAATTTTACATTAGACCATGAATTCATCATGTTTTTGTAAGAGTTAGCTCATTTGAGCTTGTATTTAAAGCTTTGAATTGGTTAGATTCATGCATGTTTGCATGTTCTTCATATTCATGAAAATTGGTTTGAAATTGAGTTGTTTGAAACACCCTTGGGCTTTGATTTTACAAATTGAGCTTTGAATCATGTTAAAGTATGAGTTTTGGGATGTTTTCTGGAAAATTGGCCCAAGAGGATTGAAATTTATGGTTTAAAACTTGGTTTTGAGCTTGAGGTTCAAATATGGAATTTCCAGAATTTGGACTCACGCTCGAGCGGGGTGACTGGCGCTCGAGCGTGGAAATCGTGCTCCCAGCATTTTGTTCTGTTTTGAAGTCCTGTCGAGCGGAATAATTGATGCTCGAGCGGGACATTGTGTCTCATGCTTGAGCGGGTGTCGAGCGCCCAATCGAGCGTGATTTTCATCTATCAAGCACTTTTGACTGTTTTGCAGAACGCTCGAGCGGGTAAGTCTACGCTCAAGCGGAAACCTTTGTCTGCATGTCCGCTTGAGCAGAGTAACCTACGCTCGAGCGTGACCCATGTTTTCTGAAAATTCTGAAAATGCTTTTAAAGTGCATCTTTGCATCCTCATCTCATCCTAGGCATTATTAGGCCTAGTTTAAGGCATCTTAACGAGGATATAGATATAGAACACACCGAGGCAAATTAGGGATTAAGTTATTATCTTTCCCAACTGTGTAGCTTAGTGTGTGTTCAATCTGTAACTGTGTAGGGTTGGCTTTCCGAGGAGTCGCTCTAGCCTTACTGTAGCCCAGAACTCTGTGAGTAACAACTGTGTAAAGATATGTTCAAAATGATTATCTTCTGAACAATTGAACTGTACTGCTTTCTGAACTGTTACTATTAATTGAATGAATGTATGTCCTATATTCTGAACTGTATTGTGGCATCCTTAGCAACTACTGTTTACTGTTACTGTTACAGAGATCTCTGTCAGTTCCCTTGTTGGAACCACTGCTGTTACTGATTGATGGCCATCATTAACTGCTCGGTCTTTTAAGACCTACTGTTTACTGTACTGTTATGCTAATGGATGTACCACATATGACTGTATCGACTGGACGACTGAAATACTGATTTAATGAACTGTTTTCATTACTGTAAGGACATTCATTCTTAACCCCTTTACGCATTGTGTTATTCACTGGGCTTTAGCTCACTGCTCATATATATATATGTAGGTGTACAGGCACCAGACCGCAGCTAGAAACGTCGGGGTAAACTTCAGTTTTGTCAAGCCAACCGCTGTGCCTCACTGCGAGGTTCCGAGCCTGTCAAGCTACGGCTTAGGGCTGTTTTTAATTTCCCCGTCTGTCTCTGTATCTGTTTTGTACGACTGTATAGACTGTTACGGTACTGTTTAATAGGGATTAGATCCCTGAACTGAATGATTGTATATATGTACATACTGTTTTGTCTGACCGTATATATTTGAATAAAGAGTCTTTTTGCATACAGACTATCACAGCTCATTGGACATTGTCTATTTACTGTATTGGCTTCCGCCAGCCCCTGTACTCTGTATTACTGTATTACTGTTAAGCAGGCCTTCGGTAATCTTGGATTACTGGCCGGTTACGGTGCTAAACCCATAGGGGCGGGTTTGGGTCGTGACATTTAGTTTAGTCCATTTGTGTTAGCATAGAACAAGTCAAAGTTTGGAATTAAAGGTTGTGAATTCCTTTAGGAATTGCATATATAGTGACACTTTGGTGTTTCCCAGTATACTCTTATTTAGGCACAAGAGTGATGTGATTTTTATGTAATCTGCTGGTATATCAATTTTGTTTTTCA